TGGGAAGAGAGGGACAGGGCGCAGGGCCATGGATACAGAAGGCGTGCGCTCGGCCTTGGGGAGGCCTGTCCTGACGGGCTTCAAGCCCCAGACGTAACCTCCAGCCCAACGACAGGCTGACCAATGAGCAACAAGGCCTATGAGCAGCGTGCTCGGCGCAGCCAACCACTGAAAGGGCCACATTCGCCCCCAAGCAAAGCTCAGAACACAGGACAGTGCAGGAAAGATGGATGGAGATGGGTAACTCAGGGAGGGTGCTGGAAGAGTGCTGCGCCATTGAGAGGACTCTATCATGGAACAAAACGAGTGAAGGCTTGGGTAGAACGTCATTTGCTCTGTGAATTCTCACCCACATCACAATAAAACAAGAACAATGAAGACGAAGCCTGAAGCACAAAACGTGGAGACCCCTCCGCTCTGGGCACTGGGCTGTGGGACTTCTTTAATATGCACAGAGGAGACAACAGTTCAAAAGGGTGAATTCTTTAAATGTTGTTGTTAGGTGCCTTTGTGTAGGCCTGATTCATGAGCTGCCCCCCCAGGTTTCTGCGCCCCCTTTCTGCCCCCCACCCCAGGTTTCCACCCCATGAGATTTCCTTGGCTGGACCCTCCGGCAGACAGCGCATCCCCAGGCACTCCTGGGACCAGCACTTGCAGCCTTTTGATAGCAGCATGTCGGTGGCGGGCTAAGTCCCTGGAAACTCTGAATAAACCTTGCTGTGTGTGCTGGCCGGTGGTCAGACCCCTAGTTACCTCATGGATCAGACTGGATCTGCCCCAGGAGATTCCTAGGCTGCGCTGCCCGACTAAGGGCACACGGTTCGAATCCACCAGCCGCTGTGCGGCAGAAAGAGGGGCCATCTCCTTTTGTGCAATTTACAGGCTCTGAAAACCCACTGGAGGGTCAGCCAAGAGTCCGTTCCAACTTGATGGTACACAACAACAATCAATAATCTTAAAATCTGTTGTTTGAGGGAGCTCTGGTGGCCTACGGGCAGGAAGCTGCACTGCAATCCCAGAGGTACATGGTTTGAATCCACCAGATGCTCTGCCGGGGAAGGAGGGACAATCTCCTCCTCTACCAGTCAGATCTGATTTGACGGTACACACACAAATAACAAAATTTAAAAAAATCTGTTGTTCATAGACTCTGAGTCACAGTCAACTCCATGGCACCTAACAACAGTATGTAACCATCAGGTCATTGTCCTGCAGAGCCGCTGGAGGTCAAACAACTGACCTTTCCATTTGCAGCGCTTTACACCTGGGCCCTTTTACGTGGATGGATGGTGGGGGAGGGAGAGAGTGAGGAGGCAGGGATGCGAGTGTGGCTGAGACTCCAGCACTGGGCGGAGGAGCCAGGCGTGTCTCGTGGGATGGGGGCCCAGCAGGTGAGGTCCTCTCCAGGTAAGACTCTAGACTCAGTGCGCTGCCCACTGGGAAAGCAATCCTGGGCTTCCCCGCTGTGTGGGAGCTGTATGCAAAAAGCGAGCCGGTTGGGAGCCTCCCTCCTGGGATTACTTGTCCCGCCCCACCCCTTTCTAATAAACGGCTGGCACAGCACGTCCAGAGTTCAGGTAGAGAAGCCAGCTCCTAGAACTGGGACCTGGAGACGAGGCCGGAGTGTCCCGTGGAGGCCAACGGAACACGTCTGGCTGGGAGAACCTGCTCCTTAGAGGCGAGGTGGTGAGAGTCCAGCTCACACTTGGGCAGGTTGTCGGGGGGGGGGGGGCAGTGCTTGGGGAAAGGCATGATGCTGGGGGAAAGCAGAGGGTCCGCACAGGACAGGAAGGCCCTCAGCAAGGCGGGCTGAGCCAGTGACTGTGCCAGTGGGCTTGAGTCCGTCAGAGACGGTGACAGGAGAGTGTACAGGTCAGAGCTGCCGTTCGTAGGGTGGTTATGATTCATGCTGACTCAACGGCACCCGGCAATAACAACACACACAGTGCAAGCTCAGTGCCGGCGGAACTGGACGGAACCCGAAGGTGGTTCTGAAGAGAGCGCGGCAGGGGTACCCCTGGAGTGGCCAAGGGGCTCCCTGGTCAATGTGCTGTCTGGCCAGGCCATGTAACTCTCTTCTGAGCCTCCCCCCATGGGCACCACATCCAGGGTTCGAGACCTGAGCAGGCGGAGAGGACCTTCCAGCTGCCTCAAGCAGGGAGAGTGGCTGTCAGCCACCGGGCAGCTGACCAGAAAGCAGGGCGTGCCACCCCCGTGGAGGTGTCACCCCCCTTCATGCTCCTGGAACTGAGGATGGTGGGACTCTGTCTCCCAGGCTTTGGGCACACTATCGGGGGGGCGAGTCCCCGGAGAAGGATGCCAGGCAGCCCTCACCTGAACTCTTCAAACTCTTTCCTGAACTACAACACCGTCAGCGACAGAACAGTGTCTGCATACAGAGAAGACCAGCTAGTGACTATTCTTTTTAAATCTTAATGTTCTATTCACAAAAACTCATTCCTGTTAAGTTGGCACTGACTCACGGCTGACCCTCCCGTGGCTTTTCCAAGGCTGTAAATCTTGATGGTGGTCACATTGGTGGTCATGGGAAGTTTTCTGGGTTGTGTTTGATGTGTGTTTCTGCTCTTGACCCCCCAAAAGCCGGTGTTCTTGAGCCTTTGACCAAAGGGGGAGGTCTGTTAGAGGGGGTGGCTTTAAAATCCTGTGGTGAGGGGGACGGGGCTGCGGGCCGGCCAGGGGCTGGAAACTCCCTCTGCTCTGGGAGTTGGCTGCTAGCTAGCATCTTGATGGCACTCATGTCGGTGGGCATGCATGGAAAGTTTCTTTGGGCCGTGTTTGAAAAGGAGGTGTCCTTGAGTCTTTGCCCAAGTCATATTCGACTTGACAACCCTTAACCACTGCTAACTGAGATTAGTGCTGTTATATATTGAGGAACACTCTTCCACTTTGTACCTCACTCTTTGTCAATGTGCCGTGTGAAGTAATCTGGGTTTTCTGTGATGTGCCATTGAGGTATCAAATACCAGAATGGTTTCCCAACACGGACCGTGTTTGGTGGAGCTCCCAGTTGTAAAGCAGGTTTGGAAACAGGAGTGGGATCCACTTCCTAAACCACATGCCTCTGGAAACTATGAACTTGGAGAAATGAAGATAGTTATGGAAAGGCGTGAGGTCTTTTGTTCACAGAGTTGCTATGAGTCATGCTTGACTTGATGGCAATCAGTAACAACAACAACAAATTGCATGGGAGGAGACTGTTCACTTTCTCCTTCAGAGCCACTGATGGGTTTGAACTGCCAGAGAAGCCCCTCTGGGCCAGCAGTGCAACTTCCTATGGAGTGGACCACTAGATGCTACCAGTCATTTAAAAAGGAGTAACATCAACACCCTTGGTACCTGTTGTTGATCGCCATCGAGTTAAGCACAACCCGTAGCGACCCTAAGAGTAAAAGGCCTGAAGCCTTTCTATAACTATGACCACTTACCAAAGTTCACAGTGTTTCCAACGGCATGTTGTTTAGGAAGTGGATGGTACTCCTGCTGTCAAGAAATCAGAAGGCATATTGCATCGGGAAAATCTGCTGTCAGGAACCTCTCCAAAGTGAGCGGTGAGTTCACAGTAAAGACTAAGGTGCACCTAATCCAAGCCAAAGTCTTTTCAGTTACTTACCAGGCATCTGAAAGCTGGTTAGTGACTAAGGATTACAGAAGACGGGATGCTTTCGAGTTGTGGTGTTGGAGAAGGGTTCTGAAATCCCATGGACTGGGATAAACAAGTCTGTCTCAGAGGAAGTACTACCAGGGTGCCCCCTGGAAGCAAAGCTAACGATGCGTCATCGCACATACTTTAAGTGTGTTGTTAGGAGCGGCCCGACCTTGGAGAAGGACGTCATGCTTGGAAAGGAGGAGGGACAGATAAGAGAGAAGATGGTTTGACACAGAGACTGTAACCGTGGGTGCAAGTGTGTCAGAGGTGATGAGGATGGCACAGGGCAGGGCAGGGGTCAGAGGGCCAGTGTGAGTTGCAGCTGACTGGACACCTAATGCCGTCGTGAACACCGCCACACACACATCCACGTTTACATATAATGTGCATGCTCCACTGGACAGTGTGTGAGCAGGGCAGCGGCACCCGGGTTATCAGTGTGGAGGGCCGTCACAGGCTTTCATCCGGCCCGCTCCGAAGGTCCTGGAGGCTTATTCTGGAAGGCCACAGCTTCAAAAAGCCTAGGAGGGCAGTTCTACGGCGACACATGGGCCACCAGGAGTTAGTGTCGTGGTGGAGCCTGGTTGTGCATCTGAACTTTGTCTGGAGAAGCGTGAGGATAGGAATCTCTGCCCCAGTGGAGGCCCTGTCGCCCTGCAGAGATGTGTACTCCAGGCCACTGAGAGGTTTCATATTGCCTTTAATGGCCCTTTGTCCAGCACTAAGGGGTCTTGCTGGCAGTGGTTAAAGAACAGGACTATTACCTGGAAGGTCAGCGGTTAGAATCCCGCAGGTACATAGAAGCAGGATGTGGGTGTCTGCTTCCAAAGGATTACTGTGGGCAGCCGCGCTGTTCCGGGTTGGGGCGGACACAGTGATGGTGGTTTAATGGTACACAAGTCCGCTACATGTAGGGGCTTGGCCCGAGGCGGGCAGGAATCACTGAGCCCTGCGGTCAAGTCGGCTTTTCTGTCCTCGCAGCACTGCAGCTCCCTCCCAGCTGGTCACCATGGCTGAGCTGCACCGCACGGAGTCCACGCTGATGGCGCTAGATGAGGAGAAGCTGTGGGAGCTGCTGGACAGTCACCGCTGCAGGATCGTGGGCAGTGTGTGCCCCAGCCGCCTCACGCCCTACCTACGCCAGGCCCGGGTGCTGGGCCAGCTGGACGAGGAGGAGGTGCTGCACTGCCCGCGGTTCACCAACACCGCCATGCGAACCGGTAAGGCCTGGCCGCTGCCCGGCTGACCCACCTGACTGGGCCATCGGTCCCACCCCAGGCCTGACCTGGCGCCGACCCACCTGACCCAGCCACCAGCCCCAACCCAGGCCTGACTCGGTCTTTAGACCCAGTACCCTACTCCAACCCAGCCCTGCCCTACCTCCTGCCCTGGCCCCCAGACCCAGCACCCAGACCTGGCTCCTGGACTCACCCTCTAAACCTGGCCCCCAGCCCGACCGCCTCCAATCCTGTTCTGACCAGGCCTCCATATCTGGTCCCTGACCCAGCTCCTGATCAGGCCTGATTCAGGCCCCAGACCTGACCCTGCTGGCCTCAGCCCCCTGGCCAGGCCTCAGCCCCAGCCCTGTGGCAGCCCTCACTGACCTTGACCCACTCAGTCGCTCACCTGGAGTCCAGCTGTCCATTTCCTCCTCTCTCCCCAACCCCCAACAGCTGAGAAGTGTTCGTGTCCGTTCACCACCTGTCAGGGGCTTAATTCTTCCCAGGTCTCTGCAGCCATCGCCACAGCCCATGTTGTTGTTGTTGTGTTGTGTACCATCGAGTCAGAACTGACCCACAGCTGACCCCCGGCGGGTTTTCAGAGGCATGAGAGGAGACTGCCCATCCTTCTGCGGAGCAGCTGGTGGATTCGAACCACATGCCTTCGTAATTGGAGCAGTTTCTCACCATTAGGCCACCAGAGCTCCCTACAGCCCACATCAGAGCATCTTTGCTCCCCCAGAAGGAAGCCTGGACCTTCGTCTATCGTCCATCATAGTTCCCTAGTTACCGAGGGCTGCTGTGACAAAATCACCACATGGGGTGACCTTAAAGAACGGGGTTCATGGCCTCCCCGGGGCTGGGCTGGCATCCAGGGTATCAGACTCCAGTGCTCTCCAGGGAGGAGCTTGGTCTCTTATGGTTTCTGTCACTCCTGGTGTCACTTGGCATTCTTGACTGCTTGTAGATGCATCTTCACCAGCGTCTGTCCCCCACCCTGTGTGCCTCCGTCTCCCCTTGTAGAAGAGGGAATTCGGACCAGCGCCCACCCTCCTCTGGGAACCTGTGGGCTGCACCTGCCCATCCTCAAAGCCCCCGAATCACAGCCTGGTGGCTCCCAGCCTGCCCTTCTCTTTTCTAGCACAACGATTAGGTTGATGCAGTAGCCGCTTCCTCAGGCCAGGTCACTGCAAACCCCAGACATCCGTCCTCTGGCACTTTCAGAGGCCCGAGTCCCAGTCAAGGTGTGACCAGCATCTCCCTGGCCTCTTTCAGCTCCTGGTGGCTGCATCACTGCTGCCTCCACCTTCTCCCTGAAGAGACCCTGAGAAATCCTCTCACTGCTCCCCATTCCCAGGCAGCCAGGGTTCCCCTAGAATCCCAGCACCCCGTCAGCTGAAGGAGTGTTCTCCTCCAGGGCACCTGCTGGACCTGCTGAAGGCCCGCGGGAAGGACGGGGCAGTCGCCTTCCTGGAGAGCCTCAAGCTCCACAATCCCGACGTGTACACGCTGGTCACAGGGCTGCAGGCCTCCGTGGACATCAGCACCTTTGGCGGTAAGCGCCGGCACTCCTGGGGTTACAGTCAATGGAGCTCTGGGCCTGGTGCCGGAGGAACCTCTGGGTCCCAACACCACCAGGGTGGTCCCACTTGGTGGCTGGTGGCTGCTGGTCCAGATGTGGACCCACTTCCTCCTGGCTGAGTCTGAGCCTGCAACACAGCTGTCCACCAGCCATGGCAGGGTGAGAAGGACAGGGAGGCCATTTCAGAGCTCAGATGTCCCTGACCAGCTCACCACACAGACAACTGGCCGTGGGGTCTGTCACTGCATGAACAGGTGCATATCGGGAGGCCTGTCCATTCCACGGGGCTCGCCTCTCCCTTGCTAGATGTTTGCTGGGGCCAGAGGGCCGCCCAGTCCTCATGGCCTGGCCTGGGGACTCAGATGGGTAGGTGAAGGATGGTGGGGACTCCACTGGGGGTGAGGGGGTACAGAGGCTAAGCCTACAGCCCTGTCGGGTCCTCTGAACGTCTTCCCACCTTATCCCCATAAGCCTCTTTGGTCCACATACTGATTTTAGGCATCCCTGGAGAAGCGATGAGATTTAGGTCCTTAGAGGAGTGGGACCCGCAGAATTCCAGCCCTTGGATGAGACAGTGTTTCCTGATTGGGGCACTGTAGTCTGTGGGGCTAGGGCCCTGGGTGGTGTTGTAGTGTGCTGCTAACAGAAAGGTCATTGGTTCAAACCTGAAGGAGGGTCGCTGAGTCAGAGCCGTGTCACCAGCAATGGTTTGCTTTTGGCTTTTGAGTGGTGAAAGAAGCGTTAGTGATGCAGTGGTTAAAGCCTTCCTGCTAACCAGAAAGTCAGTGGTTCAAACCCACCAGGGCTCCATGAAAGACAGGGAGTCTGCCTCTCTCAAGCTTCACAGCCTCAAAGCCTCTGGGCTGTTAGTGCCCTGTCCTGTTGGGCTGTGGTGAGTGAGAAGCCACTCCACGGCAGTGGGGGGTTGGGTGGTGTAAATGGTTTGCTCTCAAATACGGATCAGAATCAAGTAATAAAAGGTTGGCAGTTCGAACCCATTCAGCTGTGCTGTGGAAGCAAGGCCTGGTGATCAGTTTCCGTAAGATCACAGCGCATTACTGAGGGCAGTTCCTGTGCCAGGCCCGGGGCTGCCACACCTCGGAGTCACTCAGCGGTGATGGGTTTGGTCTTTTGGTTTCTGCTGGGCTCTACTCTGTAGTCATGTTCCAAGCCGCCTCGGACAGTGGGACTTGGGTCTGAATAAGCCGATGTGTGGAGGCCACCTTGGCGGTGAGCTGTTGCCACAAGAAGTGGTTCTCCTACAGAGGTGAAGAGGGACTTGTTTAACTAAGATGCCAGGTCTCGGTGAGGGCTGGAAGTTCCTACAGACCTGGATGGATCAGGGCTGAGGAGCAGAGGCTCTGCTGGAGAAGGAGCCCCAATGGCCCTGGAGGAACAGAGTGAGGTGTGGAGTTCACTCATCCCACTGTCCCTGCAGGGCTCATTGAGACGTCCAAGCTGACCGAGTGCCTGGCCGGGGCCATCGGCAGCCTGCAGGAGGAGCTGGGCCAGGAGCAGCGGCAGAAGGCAGTGCTCCGTGAACAGTGTCGGCAGCTGCAGGAGCGCCTGGGCCTGGCCGAGGCCCGCGTGACTAGCCTGAGTGCCCTGGAGGCTGACCACAGCCGCATGAAGCGCGAGGTCAGCACTCACTTCCATGAGGTGTTGAAGCTCAAGGACGAGCTGCTCAGCCTCTCCCTGCGCTACAGCAATGCCCTGCAGGAGAAGGAGCTGGCCACCACACGCTGCCGTGGTCTGCAGGAGGAGGTGGGTGTTGGGGGCCTGCAGGGGGAGGTGAGGGCCTGCAGGGGGAGGTGGGCCTGCAGGGGTTGGGAGCCTGCAGGGGGAGGTGGGTGTTGGGGGCCTGCAGGGGGAGGGGGGGGCCTGCAGGGGGTGGGAGCCTGCAGGGGGAGGCAGGGCTTGTGGGGAGGTGGGGGCATGCAGGGGCAAGTGAGAGCCCATAGAGGGGGTGGGGGCCTACAGGGGAAGGTGGGAACCTGCAGGGGGTGGTGAGGATCTGCAGGGTGGTGAAGCCTGCAGGGGGAGGTGGACACCTGCAGGGGAAGGTACATATCAGGGACTTTAGGGAGAGTTGGGTATCAGGAACTAAAGGAGGAGCTGAAGGCCTGTCAGAGAAGGTGGACAAGGACTGAAGAGGGACAAGAGGCCTGGAGGGGAGGTAGACATCAGGGGATAAGGAGCTGGCCATCATGTGCTACCGCTGTTTGCAGGAGAAGGTGGGCGTCAGGGCCTGGGAGGGGGGAAGGTGAGGGCCTGTAGGATGAAATGGGGGCCTCTAGGAGGAGGTAGGAGGCCTACAGGGGAGGCGGTGGGGAATTGCAATAGGGGGTCACCCCCAGGAACCTGTAGCACCAGTGTCTGGCTGCCAGCCTGGTGTGCTCCTTTGGCCACTGAACCCTGAGGGCCGGGCTGACCCCTGGGCACTCTCCATCCTGTGCCCGTGCACTCTTCATCTGCCTGCACCCCCCTCCCCTGCTCCACTGGCCTGAGCCTCCCAGGGAAAGGCCCGGCCCCTTCTCCCCAGAGCCCCCCCTAGAGTGGGAAAGCCAAGCCTGCGCACTGGAGGTCTGAGAACCCAGGACCCTTCCACCACCCGGGACTAACCACACACCAGGAAGGAGGGGGGCTGTTTGTGAGCAGCTCAACGCCCACACAGGCATGATGGTGGGTCTGCGGGACACCTTGACCCTTCAGACTTGACCTTTATGGTCACCTAGTGGTTGGATAGATTCACGAATCCAAATGTTCAGTATCTGATGCACTTTGACTATGGAAAGGCGGAGAAGCCAGGACACAGGAGTAAACGCGCTGTTGTGACCCCGGTCCTACAGCTGGTGACAGTCTCTTTAACAATAGAGGTGGGGGTGACTTTCAGTCCTATCACCAAGACCCCAGCCTGGTGATGGTACCGTCATGCTTCCGCTGCCTCCTCCCGCTGAGGACCTGGGCTGCACACAGAGGAAACCCTCTCATGGTGGACGCCCCTGTGGTCTGAGGTCTTGGGAGGTCTGGTGAGGGGCATTCTTGGCTCTGGTCCAGCAGAGGAACGACCCTCAGGTTCCCCTCCTCCCCCTCCCCGGCCAGCTATACCTGGTGAAGCAGGAGCTGCAGCGCGCGCGGGCCACCTCCTCCTGCGAGCTGGAATTTCGAGCACGGTCCCTGGAGATGGCCAGCAGCCTGGGGTCAGAAGAGGAGGAGCTGGTCCGTCTGAAGGAGGAAAATGAGAGGCTCCGGTCACTGACATTCAGTGTGGTATGTTCTATATGTGCCCACCAGCCCTGGAGCTTCCTAGGCCCCCCCAGATCCATGTAAGTGACCCCCAGATCTAACCACTGTGGAGTCCCTCCCAGCACCAGGCAACCCTTGTTTGCTGAGAACCGGGTTCTGTTATCTTTGAGGTTTTCATCCTTTTATTGTGGTGAGTGGACGTGACACAGCAAACTGGTTCTCCATTCAACAATCCACCCACATCTTGTTCATAGCACTGTTGAAACTCATCCAACCTGCAGGATTTTTCTCGGCTAGTTCCACCCAAAAAGACCAGCTCATCTTTCTTTCAAGGCAACTTTGTGTGAACTTGATCCAATGACATTTTGCTTAGTGGTTAAGCATTTTTGGCACCACTCGGGCAGTCTGCTCCTGCCTGGAAGGCAGTAAGGAGGTGAAGTTCCCCTAGCCATCACCCCAAGTCCGCTGAGCCCTGGCTGACCCTGCACTCACCTTGGTCCAGGTGGAGAAGGACATCCTGGAGCAGAGCCTGGATGAGGCCCGGGAGAGCAAGCAGGAGCTGGTTGACAGAATCCACTCGCTGAGGGCTCGGGCCGCCGCTGCGGAGAGACAACGCAAGCAGGTGACACGTGGCCCCTTTTCACTACCGCCATTCCTGGCTGCACCCCATCTGGGGACAAGTGCTGCCTTTGTGGGAACCCAAACTGCAGCTGTGCTGAGCTGACTCCTTGCTTCGTTTATCCACTCCCTCACCAGCTCACAGTCCGCGGCCTCAGGGCCGAGCTGGCAGGGTGCTTCGAGAGCAGAGTCAGAGAACCGGTGGTGGACGGTGATTCAGGGTTAGGGGTGAGAAGCCGGGGGTTCACTCAAACAGAGGCCAGAGAGTAACCCCATCTGAGCGGGACAAATACTGAGTGCTCTCACCCACGTGACGTGCCTGCTGTCATTATCGTGGTTGCCGATGAGCCGCCTCATAGGCTGTGTGCACTGGAGCACCTGAGGGCTCTGACGCTGTGAACTTTCAAAGGCTGGTCTCCAGCTCTCTTCCAAGGCCCTTCCAGGTGGCTCAAACCCCCAACCTTTCGATAACAGCTGAGGGCTTACACTCACGTGTGATGGTCTCTCAGGATTGCTGTAACAGCCCTCTCTAAGTTGTGCATGTGGAAAGTGACGTGGTAAGTCTTGCGTTCTATGTTTTCTTCAGCATATACAGGGTAGTCCTGAGTGAGTCAGCTGCTACTCAGAGGTGGCTGTGCACATCTCCAGGGCTTGGAACCCTCCCTGGCTCCGCGAGTGAAAGAGCAGTTTCTTCCCATTGCTCCTTTCAGCCTCAGAAACCCACTGGAGGGTCAGCTGGGAGTCAGGTCCAACTCAAGAGTACATTAACAACACACACACACAAAACTCCCTGCCATCAACTTGACAGCCCTTTAAGGGCTTCACCATCACAGGCGCTCACACACACGACCCCCAAACCCTCCGCTGGCACTGACTCCATTCTGACTCTCAGCCGCCCTCCCTCCATCAGGGGAGGAGACTACTCATCTTCTCCATCAGAGCCACTGGTTACCTTCCAGCTGTTGTTAGTTGCCATTAAGTCCAGCACGATTCATAGCGACTTATGAACGAAAGCTCTAAACTCTGTCTATCCTGCACCATCCTCACACTCCCTGACACGCAAGAGTCCATTTCAGCAGTCACCGTATCAATCCACTAGGTCGAGGGTCTTCCTCTCCTTCACCGACCCTCCACCTTTCCCAGCATCATGTCCTTCTCCAAGAAATAGCAGCTCCTAGCAACATGTCCAAAGGATGTGAGGCAAAGCCTCGTCAACCATTCCTGCGTTGGGGTCATATGCTCTCGCCACACCTATTCATTCTGTATGCTGAGTAAATTATCTGAGAAGCTAGATTGGAGGGAGACTCATCAATAACCTATGTTATGCAGATGACACAAGTTTGTTTGCTGAAAGTCAGGAGGACTTGAAGCATGTGTTGCAGAAGCTCAAGGAGTGCAGCCTTTGATATGGATTGCATCTCAATGTCAAGAAAACAAAGATTCATATCACTGGACCTGTAGGCAGCTTCATGATGGATGGAGAGGAGATTGAAACTTTTAACAGCTTCATCTTGCTTGGATCTACACTTAACACCCTTGGTACCTGTAGTCAGGAAATAAGGAGATGTGCTGTACTAGGAAAATCTACAGTTAGGGACCTCTTCAAATTATTGAGGAGTAATGATGTCAGTTTGAGGACTAAGGTGCGTCTGATTCAGGCCATAGTCTCTCCAATCACATGCTATGCATCTTAGATCAGGCCAATGAATAGAAGAAGAATGATAGAGAAGAATTGATGCCTTTGAGCTGTGGTGTTGGAGAAGAGCGTGGAACATCTCATGGATGGCCAGGAGAACTACAGTTATGTCTTGGAGAGGGTGCCGCCGGAGTGCTCTTTGGAGGCAAGAATGATTAGGCTTCACCTGATATACTCTGGGCATGTTGCTAGGAGGGGCTATTCCTTGGAGAGGGGCATGATGCTGGCAAGGGTGAAGGGTTGGCGAGGAAGGCTGAATCTGACTCCCACAGACTCCATGGTCCCCCCACGTGGCTGCATCTACTTCCATTAATCCCCAAGTCTGATATTTGTTCCAAAAGTTGTGGGTTTGTTGTGGGGGGTGAAGGAGGGTAAAGGATCTCGGTAGTGGAAGTCCCCAGGGTTGGTCAGTGCACAAAGGCGAGAAGCCTCTGGATCTTCTCAGTGGTCCAGCAAGCCTAGCAGTCCCCCATCAATGCTTCCTTCAGCCATCCAGAAGCAAAACCTCTCTGACTCCACCTCCAGGCCTCTGTCAGGCTACCCATCACAGCAGTCACTCCAGCTCTCTCTTATGTTGGCTTCACAGCTGTTGATGTTGAAGACACTGATCAACTGTGAACCACGTGTCCGCAGCTGAGGCTTTTGGAGATCATGCTCCGGGCTGGGGGTGGGGGTGGGGATAAGGCAATGGATAGAAAGAGCTGGTTTTCAAAGTTTGAGCCCACAGAGGGGGTTATGACTCCAGGGCACTAGCTTCTGTAGGGTCGTAGATAATTTGGACACACACCTTGATAAATGTAATTAAATTTGAAAAAGTCATTTGCGAAATTGGCAAGAGAAGAATGGACTGAGGGAGAGTGTGGAGGAGAGGCAGGCCAGCAGAGGCAGTGGTTCCTGTTTGAGGACAGTAAGTCAGGACAAAGGAGATAGCCGGTTAGCGCCCACTGTAACAGGACCCGCGGCCGAGCAGTTGGAATGGACTCATAGCTGACCCTCCAGCAGGCTTCACAGGGGAGGAGATTGTCCATCTTTCTCCTAGGGTGGTAGCTGGTAGATCCAGCCGCTAGAGAGACTCTGCCTTTGGGTTCAGCGTGACTCCTTACAGACGCGGCCCTCAGAGCGCTCTAACCCTGCAGCTCAGACATCCAGGGTTAAGTGGCTGCGCTCCACCTCCGGGCCATCCTCCCTCTCAGCTGAGCCCAGACTGACCTCCTGTCCCCTCCGTCCAGTACTGGGAGGAGAAGGAGAAGACGCTACTCCAGTTCCAGAAAACCAAGGTGGACTGTGAGATGTACAAAGAGAAGATGAGCGCCCTGCAGAGCCAGGTGGTGGAGCTGCGCAGCGAGCGTGATCAGGTATCAGGGAGGGTGGAGCCTCAGCCCAGAGCCAGGGGAGGAGCCGCGGGGACCAGGTACCGGGGAGGGTGTGGACTCCAGCCCCGAGCTCCCTAGGAAGGGGAGGAGCCGCGGGAGGAGCCTGGCACCTGAGAAGCCGCGCGAATTCCAACCACAAACACCCGTTTCCATCCCAACTGCCGCGGCCCAGGCGCTCTCAGCGGCTGGTTTTCAGGACTGCCAGGCTTTAATTTCGAGGTGCCTCCAGGTGGACATGAACCCCCATTCTTCCCATTAGCGGCTACCTCACCAGAGTTCTGCCTGCAGGACCCCAGCCCCACATTTTACTCACGTCTGGGGTGACGTCTAGGCGCTCTTGAGTTCAGGTTAAACGCAGAGCAGATAGAACCGGTCTCTTGCCGGGCAGCCCTCGGTGTCTAAAGCGTAGGCCCGCTCTCGGCCCCTAGGCGTACGCCGCGAGGGACGGGGCGCAGGAAGAAATCTCGCAGCGGCTGGTGGAGAAGGACTCGCTGCGCAGAAAACTCTACGAGCTGACGGAAGAGGTCTGCGAGCTGCGCAAACAGCTGCGCAAACTGCGGGACGCGGACTCCTCAAGCACAAGCGGGGTGAGCGGGGTGCGCGGGCAGAAGGGTGGCCAGAGTGGTGGGGTGCAGGCGGTGGAGGGGAGGGCATATGAGGGGCGTGAGGGTGAAGGTGTGGAGGGGAGGGAATATAGAGGGGAAGGGGGGCCTGGGTGTGAGAGGTCGAGGCTGGGAAATACAGGTGGTGGGTTAGGGCTGTGGGACAGAAAGTGGGAGGTGTAGCTGGCGTGTGGGGTACACGAGCAGGAGCTGGGGACACAGGCTGTGTCCAGGGAGGCCGGAGGGTGAACCCAGCCCATGTCCATGAGCACAGGATGTCCTCTGCTCTGAATGTCACCCACCTGGGCCCCCATCTGTGGCCCTGTTGTCATGGAAACCTAAACGAAGGCCCTGGGACCTGGAAAGTGAGGTATCAGCTGGAGAGTGACAGTGACATCAGGGTGGGAGCTCAGTGAGCCCGAAGCGGGTGGGGTGGTCTCCAAGAGCTGAAACCGTTGACACCTCTGTTAGGGCTCCCCCAGGCCCTGCTTCCTGCCCCAGGGGCCCAGGGACATGGCCAGGCCCTCATGCTGGTTCCAGGCAGCTCCCTCACCACCTTGTTAATACTGAGGGCCCCCTGTTCTGACCAGAGCCACCTTCCCCTGGCCGTCCCAGGTCCGGGAGGGGACTGCCCGTCCTCCCCTAGGCCGCTGGTGCGTTTGAACTGCCAGCCTTTCTATTAGTCATGATGCACCGTTCACTCAGGGCTCGCTCGTTCACTCCCATAATCCCTCTCTTGTTAATATATATGTTTATTTGTATGTTGTGTTGTTGTTGTTAAGTGTCATTGAGTCATAGCGGCCCTGTCAATGAAAGACCTGAACAGTTGTATAACGTTCATCATTTCTCCAAGTTCATAGAGTTTCCGGAGGCAAGCTATTTTGGAAGTGGATGCCACTCCTGCTTCCAAATATTTGTATTTACATAAATATGTATCTTTATATGTCTATTTATATTTATATGTATACACATGTATTATGTTATGTGTCAGATATAAGCCCATACGGGCTGCATTGTACCTACGTCCATAGTTTCTCTATATAATTGTATAAATGGAAGTTGCTGTTAACCCGAATGCCGCATCCCTGAGTTCAAGTCCTCCAGCTGCTCTGTGGGAGAAAGGCGGGCAATCGCCCATGTGATTTCCAGCCTCTGAGAACCCTCCGGAGGGTCAGCTATGCGTCAGTTCTGACTCAGTGGCAATGAATTTGTGCGTATGTGGACATACTGTCTTTTAGAGAGAGTGTGTGTGTATGTGGTTGTTCGAGTCACTTTCTGACTCACCCCCGTGTGTGTACATCTGCCCCTCAGGGTTTTCTAGTCACAGGAGCAGAGAGCCCCGTGGTGGGGTTGAACTACCAGCCTTTTGGTTAGCAGCCAAGCACTCAAGCGTTGCTCCAGGGGCCTTGTGTGGGTGAGCGTGTTCGAGCACATGCATGTGTGCGTGCCCTGTCCTGCGGGGTCACCGTGAGTGGACGTCACCCTGGTGGTCGTGGCTTGGCTTGCTTGCTGTGTGGAGGATGGGACACTGGTTCCCTGGACACCAGGGAGAGGATCTCTACCCTCAAGTCAGGGCCGTGGGTGGTAACGGCCTTGGAACCGGGGTCCATCTGAACTGACTGACCCTCCACTTCCTGGCAGGCTGAGCTGGATGCCGGGCCCCAGGAGCTAGGGGCGAGGGGCAAGCAGCGGCTGGTGCGGATGTATGCCATCTGGCCAAAGGAGGACGGTGACTACAGTGACACCCTCAGCTGCCCCCAGGTAGTGCTCCCCATTCCTCCTCACCCACCCTGGGGGACCTGGAGGAAGGGGCGCGTCCTTGGTCCTCATCCCCACAGGGATGGCTTGGAGCCGGCCCAAACGGGCAGCTCCTGGAGTGCTGGACTTGGCACCTCCAGAACCTGGGTCCCCACATTTCCATGTTCCCTCTTTGGTAAGATTTGCGTGGCTGTCTGCTACATGATGTCCAGGACCTGGGGGAGTGGGGGAGGGCATCTGGGCCACTGCCTGGAGTGAACATGAGAGGCGGACAGAAGTGACCACATCTTTGTCGCTGTGTGGTGTGGACTCGGGGGCTGCTTTATGGATGGTCCCCAGTCTCCTCCAAGTGCACCCCCCTCGGAGCTGTGGCGCATGGCCTGTCCAGCTTCGGCTCCACACGGAGTCTGTGAATCCAGAGCTCTGTGCACACAGTTGAGAGGACCCAGGATCCACTGCCCAGACCACGGCTGACCTCATCAGGGCCCTCCCCATCTAGAACCTTCCATGGCCCCCTGGTGGCCCAGACCAAAGTCCAGTAGTGACATCTTTTGGGTAGAGCTCAACATGACACCAATTTTACCCCCAGAGCTGGTGGTGACAAGAACTAGTGAGTGGTCCCTGTGGGGACCAGCCAGCCACTGGCTCACCTGGTTTCACGTTCAGTAGATGGCAGGGGTGTGGTGGGGCAGAGTCCTGTGGTCATGCAGGCTGTTGGCTGTGCCCTCCCTCAGTTCAGGTCCGACCTGAATGCTATGTCCAGCTTCCGCTCCAGCAGCCCTGTGCCGCCCAGCCAGCAGTCTCTGTACAAGCGGACTACAGAAGACCTCCTGGACGAGCCCTGTTCTTTAAGGTAGAGAGGGAGGTGACATGACAGGTGTGCCACGTGCAGGGGCCTCCTCTGAGCAGTTCCCGTGAGCATGGTCTCTGTGACGGCTGACTCCCTGAGTTAACCCTGATCCTTCTCTGCTTGAAAGCGTCCCTGGGTCAGGGGGTGCAGGAGGCGCGGTAGAAGCTGCTCTGGCAGCCCAATGGCCGAGTGTCTCTGCAGTTCAGACCCACTCTCGGCTTCTCTGGAGAAAGATGGGTAGTCTCCTCCTTTCATGGAAGGGACTCACTGTGGGTCAGAATCAAGTCATGGCCAGTAGGGTTTGTTTGTGTTTTTGTTTTTTGGGTTTTGTGTTTTTTGTTTTGTTTTTTTTTAATTGAGGCTGACTGTATGATGTTGTTCTGCTGAGTGTAGATGGAGATAAAATGGAAAGCAATGACTGACCCATCCTGGACCAAGGGCCACCAGTGACCGCAAGGAAGGGGCGTGGCCACCCTCATGGAGGCCAGCAGTGCTGGATAGACCCAGCTTGTATTTTTAGCTCACACTACGAATTAGAGAAGGGCTCATCAACAACCTGTGTTGTGCAGATGACACAACCTTGTTCTCAGACAGTAGACCCTTGGAGCACTTACTAAAGATCAGAGATTAGAGTAGATCTGATTATGCCAGACCCTGTATCCCTTCCAACCATGTGCATAGACTTAAAGCATTTCCTGAAGAGCAAAGCCATCAATACACGTCACATCTCCACATCAAAAAAAACCAAAAAAACAAAAACCAACCTACTGCTGGAGCAACAGGCAGCATCATAACAGACGTGATAGAGACTGACGTTCTCAGTGGGTTCTTTTTACTCAGATCCATAGTCAATGTCCATGGGAGAAGCAGTCACAAAATCAACAGGGTTTCCTTACATTAGGGAAATCTGCTGTCCAGGACCTCTCCACAGTACTAAAGAGCAATGATGTTAGCTTAAAGAGTAGGGTCAGGGCATGCCTGACCCATGAGCTTTTCAATTGCTTCCTCTGCATCTGAAAGTTGGAAAATGAGTAAGAAGACTGAAGAAAAACTGATGTCTTTGAAATGTGGTGTTGGAGAAGAGTACTGAGTATCCCATGAACGGCCAAGAGAACAAAACAATCTCTCTCAGAGGAAGTGCAACTAGAATGTTTCTTGGAGGCAAGAATGGTGAAACTCGGTCTCATAATGGGCGTGTTGGGAAAAGGCATCATGGGGAAGGTGCAGGGTCTGTGAAAGAGCAGAAGACCCTCAACAAGGCGGACTGACGCAGTGACTGTAAAAATAGGCTTGAGTATTTCAGAGATGATAGGATAGTGTGGAATAGGGCGATGTTCAGATCTTCTGTCACCACAGAGGTGGCAGTTGACTTGCAGGTACCGAACAGCAGTAAGACAGAGATGTCTCAGGAAGTGCAGTCAGAGAGTTCCATGGAGGCAAACATGATGAGGCTTCATCTCGCGTACTTTGGGCATGTTAGGGGTGTCTTCTAGGAAAAGGACACCATGTTTGAAAAGTGGGGAGTTAGTGAAGGAGAGGAAGACCCTCGACGAGATGGATTAACACAGACTGCAGCAACGGGCTCAGGAACGTCAGAGATGAGCGTACCACAGGCGAGGATACGGGTCACATCTGTTTTTCATAGAGTTGCTATGAGTCGTACTCCATGACACCACTAACAGCTGTGACCAGTTATCTAAACAATGGGCACGAGAGGTCAGGGCAGGGTGCCAGTCAGTGTGTCCTGTCTGCTCTGTTGACCACACTCCAGCCTCTGTACTGGGGGCTCGGGTGGGGAGCTCTGTGCCAGGCCCCAGCTCTGGGTAGGGAATCAGCCCCAGACTCCAGGTCTGAAGCAGTTTCTGCCGTTCAGCAGCCTTCCAGAAACCCTGGATGCAGAGCTGAGAGCCTCCCCTGTGGACGAGGTGGGAGAAGTGGATCTGGACTATGAGATCGTAGACAAGGCTGGTGAGTGACGCTTGGTGGAACCCTGATCCTGTAGGATGGGGGCGGGGAGGCAGGAAGCTTGGGGTGGGAGTGGGAACTGGGGTGCAGGGAGGCGTCCTAGACAAGGAGTAGCCTGATCACTGGTGGCCAGGAAATGGGACATTCACAGCGCAGGAGGCCCATCAGATGTTCAGAGGCTGTCTCTCCTGGAGGGTCCCTCCTGACGTCACCTGGAGACAGAGAGAGCTGTGTGTGCCTCATCCGAGGCGGCAGCCACAGGGACATGCACCCACACGCTTACGCGTGCTTTCGTATGTGTACTTGTGTGTCCACATACCCACTCACGCACACACACACACCTGTGCACACCTTCTCACACCCTCAACACAGACACACGTGCTCAACACTCTGTCCTCAGCCCATCAGCGTCCCCACTGCTTTCAGGACGTGATAGGAATAGGGTGTCAGTGGCCAAGACAGGTGGTGCTGAGTGAGGGCCTTCCCGCGGAGGTCTCCCAGGGTGGACACCTGCGCCCACCTGGCCCTGCCTCGCACAGGTGAGCATCCACTTACATTTCACTGCACCGCCACCAGGGGGCGCGCGCACCACGCCGTTGTGCACAGTGGCCTTGAGTCAGGACCTTTGTGGGTCACTGAGGGCCTCTCTGCAGACTCGCCTGTACTGGGGACGCCTGAGATGGCCACCCGGGCACACTGGCTCGCTCTTGGGCTGCCAAGGTGACAGTCCCGCTGAGCTTTAACCGGGAGGTGAGTGGGCACTGAGTCACCCACAGCGGGCAGTGAGGTGTGACTGGCCGTCTGTCCTCCTGCATGGCCCTGACCTCTAGACTCACAGGTAGCCTTCTGAAGTGCTAGATGTGGGGGCTCAGGGAGTATTGGAGCCTGACCTGCCACATCAGACCCCGGGCCAGCAGAGCGGGGTGACAAAAGCTGCCAGCAGCCAGGCCAGGGGTCACTGCCCCACAGATACCCAGGACTTAGACCAGGAATTCGGGCCCTGCCAGAACGCAGCTGGACGGTAACATGACCAACAAAGTGCTGCGATCGAGCAGGTTCAAGGATCTGCCCAGGCTCCCACCTTAGCGGGGGGAAGACTGACCATCTTCCTTCCTGGAAGCCGCTGGTGGAGTCAAACCGCAGACCTTGCAGCCTGACACATTGTCCCAGTCCTGTGACGCAGGCCTCGCTGAAACACAGGTCAGCACAGAAAAGGCCGGCGGATCTCATTTCTCAAGTGAACCTCCATAGCACCTTCTGGAAAAGCTGTCCACTAACTGCTGATGTAGCCAGTCCCTGTGGGCGCTGCCCCTCCCCGCCCAGGCCTTTTGGCTCCTCGGGCCCTTGTCTTAGAGAGGATGGGGCCAAGGTGAAGATTCTGAGCAGAGGGAGGAGCCGGTGTCAGGGTGTCTGGGGAGCAGGTGCTCACAGGGTTCCCCAAGCTTGAGCTCTAGCCCTGGCTCCCCACAGGCCTTCCCGAGGCTGACGGCAGCCTGCAGCCCTGCTCTGGCCTCTACATCTCTGACAGGTGAGGGGTCTGTTGCTTCCTGGGAGGTCAGTGGGGAGCAGGGCAGGGCAAGGGCATGGACGGAGCAGGCGTTGTGTCCTGTGTTGTCCCCACAGCAGCGCGCCTGTGCGGCGGCGGCCAGCTTTAAGGCTCCTCAGCCAGGTCACGTCGCTGACCTTCCAGGGCCGCTCACTCCTGGAGCAGCTCAGCGTCATCGGGGGGAACCACACGGGCATCTTCATCCACCGGGTGACCCCCGGCTCAGCGGCTGACGAGATGGCTCTGCGCCCCGGCACCCAGATCCTCATGGTGAGAGGCCACCAGCCCCGCAGTCTTGGGGAGGTCAGTGTGGGCACGCAGGTCAGGGGCCCCGTAGGCCCAACTGGAGTGGAGGCCACCCTGTTTCTGGTGGCTTCGGAAGCTTGCACTCATGGTGGGAGGACGCACCGGGTGTTCTGAGGGGACGGGCTGACCTTGAAAAAGACACCATGGTGGGAGGGATGGGAGGTCGGAGAGGAGAGGACTTGACGAGATGGATGAGCACGGTGACTGCCAGTGGGCTCGAGCTGTCAGATGGACATGGCACAGGACAGGCGAGGTTCGGGCCAGGTCACAGGCTGCTGTGAGCCTTCGTCACCTGAGGGCACCCAGCGGCGATGAGACCTCGGAGCAGGAGCGAGGAAATCAGGTAACACGCTGCCCTGAGAGGATCTGCTGCCCTGGACCACTTCCACGCGCTGAGGAGACCACAGGCGCCCCACCCACGCCTCGAAGTTTCTTCAGTTGCTTCACACGTATGTAAAAGCTGGGCAGTAAACACGGACGACCAGAGAACTGAGCTGCGGTGCTGGGAAAGATCCTGACTGTCCACGGACCGCCAAAAGGACAAGCGTCTGTCTCAGAAGAGGGGCAGCCAGAGAGCCCCTCAGATGCAAGGACGATGAAATCCGGTCTCGCCTGCTTTGGACTTGTTACCAGGAAGAAGCAGCGGCTGGAGAAAGTCGTGCTCCGTCAAGTGGAGGCCAGTAACACAGAGGAAGGCCGCAGAGAGGGGGGTTGACACATGTCTGCAGCACAAGAGACACTGTGAGAATGACGGGAGAGCAGGCAGCCTGATGGCGGAGGTCGGGTACACTGACGGTGGAGGTCGGGTGGACTGACGGCAGAGAGTCAGGCAGCCTGACGGCGGAGGTCAGGTACACTGACGGTGGAGGTTGGGTAGACTGATGGTGGAGCTTTCACACAGCCTGATGGCGGAGGTTGGGCAGCCTCCATGAGGTTGAAGTGAGATCCAACCCTGATGGCACTTAACAATAGCAATGCCACCCTTTATCCAGAGTCCTGTTACTCTGGCTTCCTACGGGGCAGAACCAGGGTGGTGTTTCATGGCCCATTGCTGGCATCAGCAGAGTCCTCGCCATCCTGGGAAACGTGACCTTTCTCCTCTTCTCTGTCTCTGAGCAGTACTGCAGTCAGAGCACCGATGGGCCCATTCTTGCTCAGATATAGTAGCGTAGCCCTCTGGGTGGTAGTGTCCCATGTCCAGGTGCCCGGCACACCTGTGGCAGGTGCTCTGGTGTGGCCTTGGATTTGGCCGAGGTGGATAGGAGGTGGGCATGAGCATGTCGGCTCGGCCTTTGTCTGTGACCGCACCCAGGATCCCCGTGGCTTTCCGAGCACCCCAGAGACCTCATCAGTGAGGCCGAGCCTTATAATTTCCCCTCAGATTGAGTACGAGGGGACGGAGCCACTGCTCAAGGCTGTGCTGGAGGACACGACCCTGGAGCAGGCCGTCGGGCTCCTGGAGCGGGTGGACGGCTTCTGCCGCCTGTCAGTGAAGGTCAACATGGAGGGTACGGTCTCTCCAGGCCTCTCCCCCATGCCACCTTTCACCAGCTCTGCACCCACCCATCCCCACCCCCTCCTGTCACTGCTCCATTGCCTGGTCACAGAGCCAGGACAAGGAGGTCAGCTGGCATAGCCAGGACCCTACTGCTAAGGTGGCCTCCAGTGAGACCCTCCTTCCAAGCCCTGCTCACCTCCAGAAGGTCCCCCAAACTCCCTGGTGTAGGCACACAGCTCTGTGTGGGTCAGCTGCTCATGCCCTCTTTCCTCAGGGTACAAGAAGCTGGTTCAAGACCTGGAGGCCAAGGCGGCCACCTCGGGGGACTCCTTCTACATCCGGGTCAACCTGGCCATGGAGGGCCGAGGGGCAGGGGAGCTGCAGGTGCACTGCAATGAGGTCCTGCATGTGACCGACACGCTGTTCCAAGGCCAGAGGCGCTGGCACGCCCACCGCGTCAACCCCTACACCATGAGGGACACCGACCATGGAGCCATCCCCAACTACGCACAGTGAGTTGTGTCATGGTGCCTTCTAGAACATTCTAGAGCTGGTGCTCTGACCTTTGCACTGTCCCCAGCTACTCACAGGCGTGAGACGCCTCAAGAACGGCAGCATCACTGTGAGTTGGGGTTTCTTGGTAATGGGCACTTTTCTCTCTTGAAAAGGAAGTTTTGTTTGTGGAGTGTTCGAGAACATTCTAGAGCAAGGCTTCCCAACCTCTGCACTGTGGGCCTTCAGAGTTGAGCCGCTTCGTTCTGTCTGCTGTGATGTTGAGAAGGACGCTTGGCCTCTGTAAACTAGAAGCCAGCACCTCCCCCAGCCCCAGGCATGACCACCACAGCTGCCTCCAGACGGGATCCGTGTCCCCTGGGCGTGAGCAAGCCACTGTCCAGGTCTCCAGGACAGTGCAGTCAGCAATGGAAGCTCCACATTCCAGTACAGGCCTCAGTTCTGAGAAAACCGTGACACTTGGTCACCCCACAAAAAACCCCAAGGAAACCCTTTGCCAAGCTCCTGCCTCTGAGCAGTGAAGCTGTCTTCTGAGAGAAGGCCGGTCACTGCGGTTTGTAAGAGTCTCCCCACAACAAGCCAGGTGGAGAACCCCTGCCCAGAGCCAGTCCCTGGGCTGCCCTGGGAGGGGTGGCCCCACCTGTCCCGCTCTGCTGTCCAGCCCTGGGCAGCTGGTCAGGCCTCTCCTCCCCACAGGGCCCAGCAGCTGCTCATTGCCACCATCCAGGACATGGCCCAGCAGAGCTCAGTCACCCGCAAGGTGAGGGGCCGCCCTTCCCACCTGGCCCTCTGCACTCCTTCCTTGACCCAGCTCCCGGCAGTCCTGGGCAGCGACATCAGCCCCCATTCCCACCCGAGGTCCTGAGATGTCAGTGGTGGGGGGTGGGGAAGCAGTGTGATTCACACCTCACCTGGGCGTCAGGTGAGAGCCCTCACCTCAGTCAGCCCTAAGGGGCATGCCCACAGCATAGTGCTGTCTGCTAGCCCACGCTCTGTCCTGTCTTCTTCTCTGGCCGCTGGTACCTTCTCCTCAGGAGAGGATGCGATTCAGAGCCAACTGGGCTCAGGTTGTGAGCACACGCCTGGTTCTGCCCCTCTCCACAATGTGCTTTCTGAGGATCTTGGGGTCCCCTCCTCCCATACCCCTGCAGACCACCCTCAGTGCGCAGGGCTCTGCTGCCCCAGAGGTTCCTGTCTGCCATGTCCGGCCCTGGCACTGAATCCCAGGGGTATGGCCCAGTGGACCATGGAGTTTGCAGATGGTGTGGGGTGCTGACAGGGCAGGGCCCAGGTCCTGTGCCAGTGGCTTCACTGTCCCATCATGCCTCCTTGGTCCCCCATCTGTAGCAGTCCTCCGGGGGCCCCCAGAAGCTGGTCCGGATTGTCAGCCTGGACAAGGCCAAGGCCAGCCCTCTGTGCTCATACTCAGATGGGGGCCAATCAGACCCCAGCAAGCTGGAAGGTGAGGCTGGAGGGGTGTCAGCATTCATGTGGGCAGGGGGTCAGCTGCTGGCTGGCTGGCCTGTGGGGGTGTCTCTACTCTCGGTCAGCATCCGGTCTTCAAGAAAGGCATCCAAACCCCAGGGCCCCTCTGGAAATCCCGACGAATCCGTCCGTCATCGAGGTAACCCGCTCATGCAGGGTTTCAGGGGCTGAGTTCCCAGCAGTAGACTGCCAGACCCGTCTTCGCAGGCTTGTCCGGTGGATTAGAACCTTCAGCCTCGTGAAGCTGAGGCTATTAACCATCTGCCTCACCCAGGGTTCCCAGCCGATCTCCACATTGTTCTGTCGGGTTGACATGCATGGGGACCCTCCTTGGGGGTTCTGAGGCAGGTCTCTTGATGGCCTCAGCTCCCTCAGAGTGCCTGGTGCACTCGAACTGCTGACCTTCCCATTAGCAGCCCAGCACTTATCCCACTAGGCCACCCTTGGAGCTTCTCCACCACCTGTGTAACCTGCCCAGGTAACAGCCCGAGAGTTGGGGTACCATTGTATGGGCAGCAGGCCCTCGAGGACAGTGAGATCTTGTGAACTTACGGCATTTCCTGAACTGTGGACACCTGTGTAGCCACAGAGCACCAGTGAGGTCAGGGGACACAGACCCCCCCAAGGAAACGCTATGGCCAGACCCCCGACGCCACATCAGTTCTGACACAGTGACCCTCCATGGTGCTTTCAGGGCTGGGGAACTTTTATGGGGTGACTGCACAGCCTTCTGGTGGATTTGAACCACCAACCTTTTTGTTAACAGCCCAACACACAACATACTATGACATCAGGTTCCCTGAGGGGCACGGAGAGCAGGGAGGATAGATTTCAGAGGACAGTGTTGGTTCAGTGGAGAGACCTGGGTTCAGCGTTAGCCAGGGACCCTAATCCGTCATCCCTGTCTCACTGGAGACCTGGGTTCAGTCCCTGCTGGGGACCCTCCCATCCACAGCCCTGTCTCAGTGGAGACCTGAGTTTGGTCCCGGCCAGGGACTCGATCCACAGCCCCATCTCACTGGAGGCTGATGTGTAGCTGGAGTGCTGAGCAGGTTTTGGAGGAGTCCCCAGACTAGGATGGACAAGGAAGAAAGGCCTGGCGACCCACCTCTGAAGTCAGTCAGTGCAAACTCTGTAGTCAGACGGCGCATTCGCAGCTGCCCACGGGGCAGTGAGAGGCCTGCGTGTCCTTCACGCGCTGGTCACCAGGTTCTGCCCTGACACGGCCACAGCTGACATCAACACAACAGTTTGGGGTTTCCTTTCTTCTGGACAAGTTTCCTGGGTGCCTGCTATGGAATGGCATGTAGAGGCGAGGACTGGAGAGCTGGGTGAGAGCACCCGGAAGAGGAAAGGGGACTGTCGCAGGAGGCCGAGGCTGGGGGTTAGGGTGGAACAGCACTGCCCAGGCCTGGAAGGGGGAAAGCCTGCCCTCTCTGAGGACAAACTGCTGGCTTTCGCTCCGCTGCACGCTGCGTTTGCATGTCCAGCCCAGACAGACAGAGTTAGAATCTACATTTTAACCTCATTGCCACTTTTAAACAAAATCTTGTGTTTTCATGACAGTAGCTTGGGGATTTGTAAGACTCACTTGAGCATCTTATTAAGATATAAATTCTAATATAAAAAACAGGAAAAAATTCAAGCCCACTGCTGACCAGGGGACAGGGTAGGTCTGCCTACAGGCCGCCGTCTTTGCAGAAGGAGGGCTGGTGGCACATGGGCTGCTAACCACAGCTGAGTGGTTCGAATCCACCAGCTTCTCTAAGGGAGAAGGGTGAGCACTCTATTCCTGTGAAGATCTCCGGCTCTGATGCAGGGTGGGGCTCAGGATGAGCCGAATTCCCAGGCAGTGGGTTTGGCTTTGATTTTAATCTTCACAGAAGCAAACACCTTTCTCCCATGAAGCCGCCAGTGGGTTTGAACTGCCAACCTTTCAATAGCAGCTCAGCTCTGAACCACTGTGCTACCTGGGCTCCTGCTGTCCTTGTGGAAATGCACACTCTCAGCAGGGGGTGGACTGTGCCGTAGAGAAGCTGGGGCCCAGGGCGCTCAGGTGTGACTCCCAGTGTGACAGCTACACCCGGAGAGGCCCTGGGGAGAGCTGAAGGGGGGTGAGGGGTGGAGAGCTGATGGTGCAGGAGGCTGGGGGGGAGTTGAGGCTGATGGGTGAGGGGAGCTGATGGTGGGGAGTTGACTGTGGTGGGAATTGAGGTGGATGGGGCAGGGGGCTTGCCTTTGGAGGGCTAACTGGGGTGCTGCTGGGTGTGGAGGCCTGACAGTGGGTGAATGGCTGATGTGTCAGAGTCAGTGGGAGGGGTTTGATGCATATCAGAGGCTGACAATGGTAAATCTGATCCATGGGGGCTGATAAGAGCTGTTAGTAGAGGCTGGTGGGTGTTGGGGGGCTGATGAGTGTTGGGTTGCTGACAGAGGGGAGGCTGATGCGTGTGGGGATTCAACTGTAGTCTGGGGCGCTGACAACCCTGCTCTCCCCACAGACTGCCCTGCTGTGTGTTTCTGGGCAGAGAGCTGCTTCACCCTGGTGCCCTACACCCTGGTGCACCCCCACAGGCCCTCACAGCCCCGGCCTGTGCTCTTTGTGCCCAGGGTGGTCGGCAAGGTCCTGATGGAGAAGCTGTGTCTCCTCAGAGGATTTGAGAAATGTCCAGCAGGTGCGTGCTCCCCTGCCGTTGCTGGCGGCCCATCTGAGGGACCCCATGGGGTAAGCCCTTCCTCTGCTCCCCTCAGAGCAGTGGGACGTTAGAGGTGGTCTCCTGGGGCCCACAGTCAAGTCCAGCTGCCCAGAGGGCTTTGGTTAAGCCTGGGGTGGGGTGTCAGGACCCTGTCCTGTCCTCCTGGGGTTTACGTTAGTGGGAGCTGAAATCATGGCTCCATGCAGCTCTGCAGATGGGTCCTGGAGGGTGCTCTGTACTGGGGGCTGGGGAAGGCAGACTCTGGAAAACACTGGGGATTAACTGCAGTGTGCAAATGGGGGGACAGTCCAGACAGGGCCCTGGAGGGAGGGCCAGGTCCCCAGGGTGGGAGGACTGGGAGGTGCTGGCATCAGGCGAACCCCAGGACATGATGGGCGTCCACCTGCTCTGTCTCCTACAGAGTACTTGAGCCACGAGGAGTACGATGCCCGCAGCCAGCGAGGGGACATTGTCCAGGGGCCAGGGGTGTCCGGGAGCCGCTGCTGGGTGACCCGCCAGGCTGTGGAGGCACTCATGGAGAAGGTGAGTGGGGGCCGCTCTTCCCACAGAAAGGGGCCTTGGTCACACGAGTGCTGGATTGCTAGCAGAAGGTTGCAAGTTCAAACCCAGCAGCTGCTCTATCCGAACAGGCAGTCAGGCCTCTTCTGTGAAGATTGACAGCAGTGGACAACCCACCGGAGCACTGCCGGTCAGAATCGACTCCGGCCAGGGAGAGGGGGTCAGAGAGTTCCCAGACGAGGGGAGTGGGCTGAGGGTAGGGGGTCTCTCAGGTCCACATCGTGAGGGCACAGTCATTTCCAGGGAGGCATGGGGGTCCAGGACCTGCTCCTGGGGACACTCACCTCCAAACTCCATCCCATACCCACACCGCCCCATGGCTACCACCATGCCCGCCCAATGCCCACACCATCCCATGCCTATCACCATGCCCATCTCATGCCCACCTGCCATGCCCACACCACCCATACTCACAAAGCCATGTCCATAGCTCCGTGCCCACACCCCATACCTACACCCCCATACCTGCAC